TATAATATAATATAATATGAAAATATATAATATATAATATATAATATATAAAATACTGTATAATATAATATATGATATAGAATATAGTATTGTCGTAACCCGGAAGGATGATTCATGCTTCCAGATCTTCCAGGCCTCACGACAGCCGCAGGTCCATGCATGGAGGTCCCGATACTGCTTTCCCTGTCTAATCCATCATGCGCTCATTCTATCCAACTATGAAACCACTATGTCGTTGTGCGTGTGCGTCTAAGCAGATGTGCATTTGCGAACCTGTTCTGCGACTTTTGTGGGCCACCCCTGCAAGCCGAAAGAAGCTGACCTTGTGGATGTTTGTGGGACCAGACCCTCACACCAGCATTGCTCAGCGCCGGTGGTGGGACCTGGCCGTGCCAAAGACGAACCGACCAAGGCGCTGCCTTGAAGCCCAGACCCTCCTGGACCTCAGTTGGTCTGCGGGTGCTCGGGTTCTTCGGGCTGCTAAAATGCGAAGGAGCAAATCTACCGAAGGCCCAGGGAAAGGGCGACCGGATCGCTCAGCTGGGCTTTCACCACCTGGTCCAGATGCAGGACAGCGACGACAATCCACCAATGCAACGCCACCAACACTGCCACCAACGCCAAGAAAACTTTCGCAGAACGAAGGCAGGCTGGCAAGGCCCGGCAAGGCTTGCGGCCTTGCAGGGCTCGGGGAGCTCCCGCCTGGCGCAGAGAGTCAGAGCCCTAAGGACTCGACACGAGAGCGAGGCGCCTGAGTTCGGCGACTGCCAAACACCCGCCCGCCACTGCGACAGAGCCACCGGCCAAGAGTGGCCTCAGGTCTCCAGGAGGCTTGCGAGTCGGCAGAACACCGCATTCCCGAGGCAGCGGCACGATGCGTGGTGCAGAGAGCAGTGCCGTCATGGCTCTTGCTAGAATCGCTAGAAGGCTCCAGCCAAGCTTTCGTCCTCAAAAGAACTCTTGCATGGTGTGCTCCTGATTTGCTGTGGACATCAGATGCTCACTGCAAGAAACAGTGTGAGCCACCAGCCGATCAGCAACGTCAAAAAGACAAACTTACTCACGTCGCCGAATGTAAGCTTGGAAGATGGAAGGATAGATGGAGAAGCAACCCTTTTTCAGTGTTTCTTGCCCAGCGCGGCGTTGTTGCGAGCACCCGCAAGCTGCACGATACAGAGAATCTTCACCAATACTCTGGCTTGCCATCCTGCACACGTCGCCCACCACGCGTTTAGCGACTTTCCTACATTGCCTCAACAAGCTGTTCATTCTTCAAGGTGCCCAGATACACGATGCCGAAGCAAGACCGTGTACCGATAAACCCCGCAAACCTCCTCGCGCTCGGGCATGAACTCCAATCCAACTGTCTTGAGGCCGGCCTGCAGGGCAAGGGTGGAAAGCTTTTGTAATTCCCTGAAGATGCTGTTCTTCGCTTTCGATGAACAACCTAGTCACCCTAGAAAAAAGGTAGCACTCCTTCATGTTCTCGGCGAAGTACTCGGGGTGCGTCTGCTCTGTGATTTCTGGCGCGGCCCACCCCATCTGCAGTGCATAACAGCGATCAGTTGCACAACACATGAATCAAACCCCCAGCAAGCCTTCCGCAATCGCTCTGAGAACCAGTTCAGCCGCTTGGCATTGAGCAGGCTGTCTGGTGGTGTTTGCACGTTGCCGAACCTGGTCAACCGGCAGCCTGCCCTGTTCACTGTGCCAAGCCGAACTTTCTTACCATGTCGAGGCACGCATCTGGTGCCATGGAACGCAAGGCGGAGCGTACTTGAACATCGCCGTTCTCCATCACAGCGAATTCAACGTCAGATATCAATCCTCCGGCACAAAAAACCAGGACGAAAGCTTAGCCGCAGCATGCTCATAAGGGCTCCAAGCGACCGATAAAGCTCGCGAATTGCCTCACCAACCCGAACACTTCCAAAGGATGAGCTCGACAGATTGACAAACATCAGCAAGTAGATGAGAAACACATCGCTCAAGTGTCTACAAGCCGAGGTTCCCATACAAGTAAGTCGGAAGAGTTTGCAAAAGCCGGAATCCACCAGCATCAACTCCTTAGACAAAGGGCATTGCACACATCCACGACACGACGACGAGCCACCCCGACGAACATGATATTCTTTCTTTGTTCCTTCTTGCTGGAAAAGTAGCCATCGTGGCCAGGTGGATACGACTCGATCAACTCGGTGAGCTGCTTAGTTGCCTGAGCCGTCCCGGAATGACGACCGCGCCGCCCTTGAATGCCCCGCCTTCCCCCACCTCTTCCGGCGACATTCCAGCTGGAATCTTCCAGGGTTCCAACTTTGTCTGGATCTTCCTCGGCTAGCATCACAAGCTTGTGGTCCTTGTCATGTCGCCACGGAGGTTCGTAACACTGCCAAGCCGCTTCTCTCTGAAAAAATCCTCCGTGGTAGAAAAACATCTCGGAATCACCTTCTCACAACAAGGCTTACGTTGACTGCTACCAGGTATGTCTGTGTTGACTGTTTTGATGAGACTGAACCTCAGTTTCATGACGCCGCGCTGCGGTTTCCCAACAACCAAACCCGGGCAAGGTATGGACCGCGACAGATTGCAGGTGCTGCTGCTACAACTTGATTGGTTGAACATGTCAGGCATACTCATTCAACAGCTGTACGTGCCAGAACCAACGAATCACAAGATACAATCAGCCGCAATGCAAGCTGTCAGCAAGCTGGCCTGCTCTTGACACGAGCGAAGCACGGGGCCGTCGGACTTTTTGCCCTTCCTGTCCAACTTCCTGCACAATTCAGCAGCGTGGACAACCGGCTTGCATCTTGGTTTTGGGGACAACCTTCGGGCCCCGCACCTTACTTGCAGACCGATGTTAGGCTTCAGGCCGAAGTTCCTCGCAATCACATTGGTACATTTACAGTGTTTTTGGTCACAAAGTGTCGCTCATTTCATATATGTCAGGAACATTCCGCAACCAGCGCTTGCACTGAGCCGAGCGAAGTGTCACGCGCTCGGCTTGCTCTTTTTTTCACGCGAATACTAATGGTAGACAATTCCGCAGCGGGGGTTAACGGTTCAGAGTGTCAGAACGTGGGATGCAACGCCGCGTCAAGGCAAGCTGTTTATGGTCGCGCATGTTTCACTGGCGGTTGTAATGATTCGGGTCTTCTCAGCGTTGAGCTCCAATCCAATGTTTGCCAAAACTGCTTTTAGCCTTTCCAACATGCGTACCAATTCCTGCCATGTTTTAGCATACAACATCAAATCATCCGCGTATCTGATGTCTGTCAAAATAGCTGGTGCTCCAATGTGAATACCC